TACATTTCATTGTTATATTTTCGGAATGAGTTTATACCGTATACCATTTTTTAAGGAGTGTACAAACTCCCATCTAAATATTTGTTTTCTTCATTGACAGAAAAGTCACCAACAAATAGTTTCAATATTTTTCGTTGTTCCTATCAAACTTTGGTATATTTCATTGACATATGTTTTATCTGCTTTCTTTCAAGGTAACGTTTAAGTCTGTTATTTCAGAAGATGTATGTGTATGTCCAACGTCACTTTTCCTGTTTAAGGTTTCTTGTAAGTTTGTAATATTTGCAATGGTATGTGTATGTCCAACGGCACTTTTACTGTTTAAGGTTTCTTGTAAGTTTGTAATATTTGCAATGGTATGTGTATGTCCACGGCACTTTTACTGTTTAAGGTTTCTTGTAAGTCTGTTATTTCAGATATAGAATGTGTATGAGTTTTTTAGAATATTCGTTTTCAGCTCTTGTCACTTCACTTGACATTTTATTTGTCAACATATGTTTTGTCTGCTAGTTCAGGATGAGTATGTTCTTTTGTTGCATAAGCATTGTTAGCTCTTTCTTCTTCTTTTGCTATTGCATCGTCTACATATTCTTTGTCAGCTTTGTTGTCAATATCTGCTTTCAAAAGAAGTTCAGATATAGGTTTCTCGTTTAAAGTTCCTTTTGTTGGATTTATACAGACAGTATGGTTCTTATTGTCTTGAAACAGAAACTCATCTGTCATTGGGTTTAATGTCAGTTTTAAGTTTCCTTCTTTCAATGACTCAGATATCTTAGAATAGTTTGAAAAGTTTGTTGTGTTCTTATTTAGAGCTTGCATAATGAGTTGTCGTTGTGTTGTATTTCTCTCATGGAAGCAATATCTTTCGACTTTTTATTCTAGATAAAATATGCTTCCAATAGAAAAAGAAAATTCAAGAGTTGCTACAACTAAACCATTAGATGAACTTTTTACTAATGTCGGTCAAAAGTTTGAGACAGAGACCGTAAAGCATGAAGGCTATCGTTTTGACTACCCATTAAGATGGCTAAGAGACCCATCTGTCACAAAAGCTATTGGCTTTCGTAGAATGAAGTTTGTGTCTGTAGAAGATAAAAGTTTTTCCATTTATTGTAAGGTTTCATATAGATTATATATCTGAAGGGAAACGAAAAATGTGGGAAGAAATTGAGCTAATACAAGTTGACCTTTCATCTTCTCTACAGACTGCGTTAAAAAATATAGAAGATAAAATAAATTCATGTTATGCAAAATATGCTGATGAATATGCAAATACCGAGAGCACACTTTATGTGAGAATTGTATATGACAAAACAAAATTCACAAGTGTCATTTCAAATCTACGAAAAAAATCCAAATAAAGACGAACAAATATATACAGAATTCACTGCAATGTCATGGTATTATTTGCAAAGAATGTTAAATCAAAGTCGAACTTCCTTTAGCAAATATTTACAGTCGATATGCAAGAGATGAACCATATTTATTTAAAGATGTTTTCGACCCAGCTGCTATTATTGTTCATGCTTCATTTTCTGGCGCCCAAAACTCTTTCTTATGCTTGGCAAATGACTTTTACGAAAAACCTACAAAGTTATACGAACCACCAAGTGGAAGTATTTCAGACTTTCAAGTATGGTTTACTACAGATGGAAGAAAAAGAATAATTCCATTATACCATGCTTTTACTTAGAACTTAGTTTCATATACAACTACTATCGAACGGTAAAAATATAATTTTTTAATACGGTTGAGGTGTTGGATTTGGTTGCCAACTAGACTGTGGTGCAGGTTCAGGCTGTTGTATAACAGGAGCTTGTTCTTCTGGTTCAGGGTCTTTAGGTATAATACCAACAAACTGACCTACCCTTTTACCAATATTTTTGACACCGTTCCAAATTCCTCTTCCTACGGTTTTTATTCCATTCCATATACCTCTTCCAACATTTCGAAAGAAGTTTCCTATCTTACTGAAGAAACCCATTTACTATATGTAAAAATCTAATGTCCGCCTAGTCTCTTACGTTTCCTGTTGAGTTCCATAGCATTCTTTAACTGGAGCTCATACATTCTTTTCTCCTCTGGTAGAAAACATATTCTGGGTCAACTCCTGTGTTCGCGTCATCTGCATAAAGTTGTTTATATCCCACTTCAGGGTTTGTATAAAACTCTTTCCATCTCATATTTGCATACCATGGTGGCAAACCTAACGCAGCGTCATTTGACATGGCAGTTTGCATTTGTACATCTGTTGGCACTTGACCATAGTTTGCCATTGCAGTTTGTATTCTAACTTCATTTGGAATATTCTCTGGGTTTGGTTGTCCAGGTTGCTGTGCATTCGCTAAGTTCTGTGCGTCCATTTAATATTAGATAAAAATATCTCTTACGAGTACATATACTGAACATTTGCAGGCATTGGTTCATCTTCATATTCTCTGTACTTTTCTGCCACGTCAAAGAAATAAATGACACAATGGAAAAAACCTAAAACAAGTAGTCCGATTTCAAACCACATTTACTTACTAATAAAATTTCTTTGTTATGACACTTTCTCCAGTTTATAGGACCTCTCTCATATTCTATCTTGTCATATATAAACTCATAGTCATGTATGTCCTCTAACCATCTCATAACGGTTTCCAAACCACTTTTATCGGATGTAAAGTAAAAGCATGGATGGTTATGTAAAACGTCTAAAGTTTCTAAAGAGTCTCTCAAAGTCCAGTCTACTTGGTATTGAAAATCCATGTGTTATAGAACGGCGGGTCCACTATAAAGAAAACATTTTCCTTGTCTTTATATTTTTCATACAAATCTGTCCAATGACATCTCACAAACTCTATACCCTCAATATATTTATCTATGTCCTCTTTGAAAACATTTGTATAGTTAAGATATAAAACTTTTGACATAAGTGTTTCAATGTCATGAACTCTTATAGCACCACTATATAATAGTCTAGCAGATATACTATTCCAGTCTATATATTCTGCTTTTTTCAAAACCTCTCTCACAATATTTTTGTTATCTAATGGTATACGTTCCATCTTACCTATAGGTATCTTTTCTTTTAACTCTTTCAATATATTGTTTGTGTCTGGTATATGTTTGAGACGGTCCATATAGTTGTCGAAGTCATTGCATATAATCTTTGAGTCTGGGAATATTATATGGCACAAATGGGATATATAGAAACTTCCACCGAACAAATCTACAAATGTTAGACCATTCGGTAGTTTCTTAAGTTCTCTCAATATAATATCTTTACATCTACTCTTATTTCCAAAGAACGGTAACGGTGGTTTTGTAAAATTCATTTATATATAATAATAAAAATGTTTTTTCCTGAAAAGTGACAGAAAAGTGACAAAACATGAAAACATATATAATTTGTGAAAAGCGACACATTATATAATGTTTTCGACCCAGAAGAAGGCTTCTTCCCAGAAGCAATGGAGGAAGAAGAAGAGTCCTCCGAATTCACACCAGAAGACTAACAATTTTCCGAATAAAAACTTCATTTATACTAAACATCTTCGGGGCTAGAGGGCACGAAGTGCCTGGAAGCCCCACTCCCTTTTTTTTTTTTTTTTTTTTTTTTATCATATTTATCCTTCGCTTTTAAGATCATTGAATTTGATTTTTATATAAAATAGTTATATATTAGAAAATAATATGAGTTTATGTGATATTATTTTTCAGAAGATTTCATTCTATATGCCTATGAAAAGTACTCTCAAAACTAACTTTTTCCTAATTATAATTAAATCTAGAATATTGTATTATGCTTAGTATTATTTCATTTTTCTCATTCAATTTAGAATTTACAAATGTCAAAAAATTGAGAGCTGTCACTTTTGATGAATTTCTGTTTATTACACACTTGATCCCAACATTGTTTACTCAACATTAAAAATATTATTGCAAAGAAAACATTTGATTTAATAAACATTTAATTTATTATAATTAATTTTTTATTACAGTATAGTAAAAAATGCTATAAATAAATTATTATATTTTATTAAAATGTGACTTTTAATAGTAAGTGAATAAAATAAATCAGGAATTGGGAAAGAAATAAGGTTAATTAAAAATAATGAAAATTACAAGTTTAAGGTTAATGAAAAGTGACAATGGGCGAGTTTGTCCCCCACTCCTTCTTTTCAATTCTATGGCCTTACCCTTTCAAAAATTGAATCTATTTTCAAAATTGGCGATTAGCCAAATATAAATATCTAAGAATTCCTATTATGATCTGACAAAAACTCATTTTATTGACTTAAAAATTGAATGCCTAAATTACTCTCAATTATACGCAAAGTCGCATCATTTACCGGCATTTAAGTGGAATCAAAATTTATTGAAATGCTTTTGTTTCTTATTCTTGAAGATATCACTTTCCCTCCGAACAATTGTACGTTCAAGAGCAATGGTGCTCAAGGTGTTTTAAAGTATTTTAAAGAGTCAGAACACCGTTACAATGTTAGTTCCTATTATTTAATAGCTGATAAAAATACTTGGACAACAATATCAGGATCATTCTGTCCTAAATCCACTGGAACATATACCTTAGTTGCAAGTTCAGTAAATAAAGTTGCTTGTTCATTTAATTTTGAGAAACCATATGTAAGTAAAGTGGTTCTATTTGTGATGCACTACATGATTATCAAAATTTGGACTTAATAGCAAATAGATGCTATCCATTTGTTGTCTCAGGAAACACAATATTTTCTCCAAAAGTTCAAGCTAAAATCAATGGTCAAATTATTGATTCATCAAATTCGGTGTTAATAGATTGTTTAACAGATGATTGCTTGCCTGGTTATTACACAGATACGTGCGAGAAGAAGAATGATGCATATTGTAATGAAAATGGATCACCAGAATATGGAAGAACTTCAGATGGAATTGGATGTGATTGTGATCAATTCAAGGACAATATCTTCTGTGAAGATCAATCTAAGTATGTTTTCGAAGAAGGGAAGCGAGGTGTTCAGATGACATCGAAATACAACGAAAATTTGATATCAGCATCACAAGTTTATGAAAACATCGACATGATTGAAATGAGTGAATCATATGCTAAAGTTTATATTGAATCAACATTGTTTGTTCCACAGAACACAGATCTCCAATTTCACTTAGTTTCTTCACCAGAGAGCAAACTATATATCGATGATGTTGAGATTGAAGGAGGAAATCTTACTGAAGACATTTATTCATGTGATGAAGATCCAGCGATGAGTGATTTTGAAAGTCCGAAGAAATATTTCGAACGAGGAAATCACAAAATCAGAATCGAAATGAATCCAGGATGTGCGATGCATGATCAATATGTATCACTGAAATGGAAATTCTATCGATTACATCGAAATCCTAATCCAAACTCCATTGACTATGAATCCATTCCATCAAGATATCTAGGATTACCAACAAATCAATAAGAAATGGAAACTTTGATGATGAATTAATTGATAGTAAAATTTAATGATTTTACCAACATATTTATGAAATCATAAATCATTTGCAGATAGAAAAATCAAAAGATTAATGATTCTACATGTTGATATCATGTAAAACATCCTGCATATCTCTTCAAACTTAATGTATAATAATGATCATAAACAGTCCATTTTATTGAGAAAATAAAATAAATAGATTGTTGCATATAATAAAGTGCTAGAAAGAGTATATATTTTTATGTGTATAACAAAGAATCATTCATTTCATGATTTTTTAAAACAAATTTTGAATATTCTTTTCTGAAAGCTAAAAAAAGAACTAACAAATATAATTAATACCTAAATTCTCATTAATACATTTCCAAAATCAATGTATTTTGGAAAATTAATAAAAATAAATTTAATTTTTGAAAATTTGTTTGAAATAAGCAAATGATTCATATGATTTCAAGCTTTCTTGTATTCATTGTATTTGATAAAGAACGTGGAGATGTAAGAACAATCAATTTTTTTGTTATTTAGCCAAAGACAAGCTTTCTTTGAAGATTTCGAGTTTTCCATTAGTATATAGATAGTTCCATCTTGGTATTGCTTCGATGATTCGATTTTTCCGAATTTTTTAATCATATTCAAGATAATATTTATATCATTGCAAAATCTGATGCCAAAAGACCTTTCAACTGATCTAGGATAGAATAGAGTTAATTTTATCTCTTTCCCATTAATCATACTTAGATTTAATAGCCTAGAAGCCTGAATTGCCTCAAATTCACTTGAAAAATACAAAATAAAGTAGTCTTTCTTCTGTTCAGCAAGCAAAATAGTACCTACCTGTGAGAATACTTCCTTTATATCGTTTTGATCTCCTTCAAAGTTGTAAACATATACTAATGGAACTGATTTCAACATTGGTAAAGTAATAAGCTGTAATTTCTGTAAAACTATCGATTTTATAAACTCTTTATACTCTTGTTCGCTTGTATATAGTTGTGTAGCAATAGATTTTCCTTTAAATTGAATAGTTTCTAATTGTTGAAGTTGAGATTTCGAAACTTTCTCTCGAAGTTGAACTATTACTAGTCCTGTGTATTTTCCTTTGTTATCTTTGATTATTGTTAAATCTTCGATTTCAATATTTAATTTATCTTCAATTAGCATATAGATTTCGTAGGATGACATGCTCTTTGACATGATTTGTAAAGTAAATATAGTGCCATATATTTCTGATTCTATTTCTTTTTCTTCATTTTTAATAATACTTGAAAAAGGATCAACCATATCCTTGTAAGAACGAGCTTTATATCTATATGGATCATATGATGCTCCTAAATCGGTGTCATTGTCTTCTTCTTTAATATGCATCAAACAAAAATCAAATTTGAAAAATAAATATTGAATTTTATCGATTGGATTTATGATGTTCAATTGGAGCTAAAACTCTTACTGATATGAATTTTGCTTAAATCGCTAAAATTTCAAGTCCTGAATCCAAAAATCTTCAGAAAAATCAACTATTTTTAAATTTTTATGTGTGTACATTCATCACCCTTATATTTATAAAAGAGGCGAAGGAGCCAAACATAAAGTTATTTTTACATGGAGCAAATCATCACTGGGGATGGTGCTTTGGTCAGTAATTTAGACGAGAAAATAACAAGTTCAGGAATTGCAGATGCTGGTGTTGATTATCATACAGTTGCAATTATTGGTCCTCAAAGCTCTGGTAAATCTACGATTTTGAACCTTCTTTTCGGAACAAAATTTGCCACAATGAACGAGCAAAGGGGTAGACAACAGACAACACAAGGTATCCATGCCGCTAAATCAGTCAATGACCCAATATTACTCTTTGATGTCGAAGGTTGCGACTCAAGAGAACGTGGTGACTCCGATGCCTTATTTGAACGTAAGTCTGCTTTGTTCGCTCTTGCGCTTTCCGAGGTACTCGTAATCAACATGTGGGAGTCTGATATTGGACGCTACCAAGCATCAAACATTCCTATGCTTAAGACCGTTTTTGAGGTCAACATTCAACTCTTCCTCGCTCAAAATACTACCAAATCCAAGATATTGTTTGTAATTCGTGATAGTACAGCTGTAAATTTCGAAGCTATCAAGTTCCAGCTAAACCGCGATATCACAAACATCTGGGATGAGATCAACCTTCCAGATTCCTTCAAAGGAAAGCAAATGGAAGATTTCTTCGAATTCTTATATTTCCCAATTCATCACATGGTCATTCAGAGAGACCAATTCGATGCCGATGTCAATACTCTCCGCAAATGGTTCAACGAACCCCCATTAAAAGACTACCTTTTCGCTGAAAAATCTACAAAAGTCGTTCCAGGCGAAGGATTATCACAATACATCAGAAATCTCTGGGAAGTCATCAACGAAAACAAAGAACTCAACATCCCCTCTCAGAGAACAATGCTTGCTCGCTTCAAATGTGACGAAAATGCTGCAGAAGCTTTATCAAAATTCAATAAGTTCGTAGAGGAGAATTTACAGCGCGATCCAGACCAACCAATTACGATTATACAAGATTTCAAGCCGCTTTGCGACAAATCCGTTGAAAACGCCTTGAAATATTATCATGATAACTCATGGCGCTATTCCGAAGCAGTTGTCAAGGAAAGAGAGGCCCAACTCAAGCAGGAGATCAGCGATGTACTACTTCCTTACTTCAACTCCCAATGCAAACTCTTCTGTGACAATACATTAAAAAGATTCAACGAATTTATTTCTTCTATTGACCAAGAACTACATGTTGGAGGTACCTGGGAGAGCGACGTCCAAGGTAAGATCGATTCCCTCAACATGGACCTAAAGAAGAACATAAAAGATACAACAGTTGAACCATTTTCGTGGAATTACCCTGATTACGAAGTAATGAAAGTAATGTTCAATGCTACAGAGTCAATGAAAGGAAAACTCGTCAAGCAATTAGAACAAACTATCATTACCGAACAGATGAGATCATTTGATGAACAAGCAAACGACATCCTCGCAAAAGTTGATAATTTGATGTGGGATAACCTTAGAAATTTGATAAGAAAAGTGTCAACAGAGACCACACAAAACACCAATCAAGTTTTGAAGACTAATGTTAGTGGTGTTCATGCCAGGAATGATATCAAGAGAGATTTCCAGACACATACTATTTCTCTTGTGAGAGAAAGTGCGAATTACATTGTTCTGAAGATGAAAAACACTTTTGACAGAACATTTAAGTACGAAAAGAACGGAAGACCAAGAGTTTGGACAAGAAGAGATAACATCAACCAGATCTACGAGAACTCAAGAGATGCAGGACTGAAAGTATTGAGACATTTCACGTATTGCAGACTCGCTGAATCTGATGATGAAGTAAAACCAAATGATCCATTAACACAAGTTTTGATTCCTCATGAAAGAGCTTCAGAAATTGAAGACAAATTTGAAAGAATCATTATTCACGCTTATGAAGAAGCGAGAGCCAATATAAAGGCACAAGCAAACAGAGAACAGATTCCTGGATGGGCATGGCTTGCTACTTTCCTTTGTTCATCAAATTACATCATGAAATTACTTGCCAATCCGATTTTCTTCGCTTTGGCAGTAATTATAGGAGGAATATACTCTATTCTAAGAATGCTTGGTCTGCAGGATGTGGCAAAGAAGACTCTTCTCGACAAATTTAATTCATTACTCAAAAATTTGACGAAAGATGAAAATGAACAAGAAAAAGAAGGAGAAGAAAATGAAGAACCTGAAGAAGATCAGCCGTTGCCAAATAATAATAGAAAGAGAATGAAATTGATGGAGAAATCTGTTTCTCAAGAATTTTCGCAGAAATCAATTTATAAATCTTCTGAATACAAAGGAAGTGGAGATTCACTGATGATTCCGCAAACTTCTCCTCTAGGAAACAATGATTCACCTGAAAAACCAAGAGATTCTTTGACAAGAACACAATCACTAGAATTTATGTAATTTATTATGAAAAAAAATAAAGGTTTATAAAAATTTTTGAATGTTTTTTTAAATAAACATAGCTCATGAGGAAATTTGAATGAAAGCACTGGCTTAATTAATTAATAATTGTTGAAATGGAAGAACAACAGCTCATTGCGCAGGAAATAATAAAAATAAAGAAACTTTTGAGCACCTTTATTTTAAGTTGGAAAAACCTCGCTTTATCGCACAGTAAGTTAAGAATGTACAAAAATAGCAAAGGATTCCTTAATGATATGGGGAAATATCATAAGAAATGATAAAAAATGATATCCATCACTTTATAAGCAGCTAGAGAAAAAATTAACTCCTAATTATAGTGAAAATATCAATGAAAAACTCGCCTCATATTGTAACAAATGCACATTATAAAGAAATAACTGTGCTTTGTCTTTAACATGATGCAATTCTCAATTCTTGGACTTTGTAGTTAAACTTTCTACTCCCATAATTTTTAATTTGAAGTTCATAAGAGGATAAAATAATAAGAAACAGTCTTATCCATATTGAAATAAAATATTTTAGCGTAAATCAAGCAATATAATTCTTTATTTTAAGTATTCCAGCAAATTATGAAAATTTTTTGAATTCACTACTGAAAACGTTAAACATGGAGATAATTCTTCTGCTATTCTATTTAATACAAATATATCTTTGCAGGATATCTTACAATATCAGTAGTTGACTGACGAGCGATATTTTATGAAGTAATTTTTTTTCGAATTACACTGTTCTTTATTATAACACATGGAGTAAATTTAAATTCAGCATGAGATTTACTATATTTAACAAAAATATACCCCGTTACTCATTTGAAAGTTGTCATTTTTTAGAGTTTTGGGAAGATTCTGGAAGTTTTCATTGTGTTTTGGAGTCCATTTGATATTCACTAATAATAATTTGGCTGCAGCTAATGAGTTAATATTGTAAAATATCATATTAACTCAACAATTAAATACATTTTGTGTAATAATCCAGTTTAATTTGAAAATAATCTATTTTTTAGCAACATATCTCAAACTTCTATGTGCATCATCTATAAAATAAACCAATGAAGATTTAAATTTCAAAAAATGCCAAATAGCAAAATAAACAATCTCATTATTTGAGAGCATATCGGAAGTGAATAGCGAATATGCTATTGCAATTTTCCCTTTGAAAAAGCAAAAATTCCCACAGGCGTAGGCATTCAATTTATAATCTAATAAGAAGAAGGAAAATCAATATGAGATGCTAATTCCTCTATTTTTTCTCATCGGTTTTCTCCAAAACAATCAAATGAAATAGCCGATGAATTTGAATAATACGATAGATTTTATCGATGGGTCTGAAATTCAAACATCACTATTTTTTGTTTCCTATAATTGAAATATATAGGAAGTGAGAATATTAAGATTTCATAACATGCCAAATTCGCCTATGAATTTTCTGAAGCAAATTTGAAACAACATCAAAACGTTTATCACAAAAATCAAAGTATTCAAATTATAACACGATCATGAGGGATTAATGGGCAATATGTACATAGTAAAATGAACATCTTCAACGATTATCTGATTTTATAAAGATTTTGAAAATATTTTGAGACAAATAATGGATACAGGATTTGGAGATCCAACTCTCTCAAGCACACAGCTCAGACAAAAGGCATTCAATGTTATTAAGAATGCCGACAGGCCTTTGGCTAGCATCAAAATCGAGAAATGGATAAGAAACAATGACTACGAACTTTGGAGTAAAGTTTCAAACAAGTGCAAAGATTACGTACGAGTTATTCTGAGCCAAACAAGAGGGGATTTGATTGCTAAATTCAAAGCCCTTAAGCCTGTCGCAGGAATCGATAAGCGCTCAACTTTCTACGGATTATGCAGTAGAAAGTACCCATCAGATGCTTGGGCCACACTATCAAATAGTTCAAAACACAGAGTTAAAAAGAATGACGATGATTCTTATGAAGATGGGGCTACTAATTAGAATGAAGATTCATATCAGCAAAACGATGAGGCGCAAGAAAAGGTTAAACTAATTACGGATGTTCCAGTTCATACTACGCCGCTACCTGTTAAGCCAAAGGAGCGAGTTCTTCTCCCACCCCTCCCACCCTTCAAAATAAATGCCGCAAATACATCGCTATTGCCATCATTTCTCCTACCAAATTTCCTTGTTGAGCCAACAAATCTCAATCACGTTAGTTTGCTCTTGAATTAATTTTCTTTCATTTCATACTTGAAGTTGTTTATTTCTAAAAACCTATCTTCTGTATTTTGGTATATTATTTGATCACCGCATTGATTTATCCAGTTTTAACCTTAGTAGATAATAAATTCAAAATAATGGGATATGATAGCATAATACCCTTTGGCACATACAATGCATTATCAGTAAATTATATTTTCATAACATATTCTCGACCTGAACTGATTGTAAGCAATCCAGTTGAAATGAATTCTTGATGAAATGAATAAATGAGCTCAGCAAGACTGTTCATTGATTTTAATACAGCTAATGATTATAATGAGAATGTGACGAATTAAAAATGAAAGTAATATGTAACATTTTACATAATCATATAATTGACATTTTGTCAACTGTAAACGAACATGAAATTTCCTAATTTATGCCTTAATATAGTGACAACATCACAATATCACCATTATAAAAAATATCAAGAAAGCAATTGAACAGTATTTAAGTAATATTCTTTTGAAAATAATGTTAGAAAATGTAATGTTAGTCTTCACATTGTATATCACTTCATAATGAATGGAAGATTTATGTAATCGTATCGAGCAATTTGCTTTTTGCTTAATCACGGAACCATATGACAGAATCAACGGATTAGAAACAGAAATACTAGAGCATGGGCTTGATTATATAATCCAACTTTTGCAATATGAATTGGCCGAGCAAGTATCTCCAGTAGTCATCCATTTCACATTGAAATGCTTAAACAAGAATCTGAATCCTAATTCAGATCCCGAGATATTTACGAAAATTCTCAATATATTTTCAGAAATCTTTCCAAAATTGCCAAATAAAATTGCAGTTTTCATAAGAAAAACGCTTGCAATATGCGTATTACACATTGAAATACAAGGTATTCCAACTTTAAACCCATTTATCGATTCCCTTCAAGATCCATACGCAAAACTTTTGTTTTTTGCAGAATATCAACTTAATCTCTCGTATTTAGTCAATTCTCAGTATTCATTTGTCTACTTCTTCCACTATTTAACAGATTTTATTCCATCATATTTAAATTTATTTTTATCATCATTTGTATTATCCCCAGACAACAGCTGCAGAGATGAGCTTATTGATCTTGCAACATATTTAAGATTTGATAATTTACAAATGCTTTCGAGATCTTCAAAAATCGAATTCAATCAAGAAATCTATGACAATTTAATTGTTCCTTCGATTGCAGAATCACTCCAAAATGTATGCGAATGGATTTGCGCGAACTATTCTCTCAATATTTACAAGAGCGACGTACAAAGACAACATATAATCGTAATTCTTACATCATTTTCATATTTTCTTCATTACAAACAAGACCAATACATAGCTGCTGTTGAGAAAGTGATCACTGTTGAGTCACAAGATATTTATTTCACATGTTACGAACAAATTTACGATCTTTTATCGAAATTGTTCGAATTCTCTGCTGTTTCCCAGATAATGATTGATTATCTATTCTCTATGATTCAGTTGGCGCTTAATGATCAATCAATTCCTAAGATAAATGCAACTTTATTGTTGATATATAAAATAAAATCGAATGTTGACCAAGAAGAAATCGATAATGTTATCTCACAGATCTTCACATACCTTATAGAGTCATTTACCAATGTTGAAAAGGTTGGAGAATCAGAAATGAAGGATTTGGCCGAAATTATTGTTTCAATTATATATAAAAACCCTCTTTCTTTGATAAATTTCCTTCTTTACAACATTCCTTCGATCAAATCAGAGGTTGTCATCACAATTTTCGTATATTTTGTCAATGAATTATTATCAATGATCCTAGAATGCGAAGAAATGACAGATGAGCTACTTGCAATTCGTACATCATTGGTCTCTTGTGCAAGCGCGTTCCTGGAAACTATAAATTCCATAACGAGTCCTCAAATGTTATTTTTATCTCAAAGTTTGATCAAGATGATCCAGACATTATCCAATTTTGTGACACCACAAGACACAGATGGTTCATATGAGACACTTGTTTCTTGCGTAACTCAAATCCTTCAGAGTGTTTTCGAATTTGTTCAGTCAGATTTCATGAATAGATTTGATCCTTCAGCTGTTTATGAACTAATTGAACAATCTTGTCTACTCATGGAGCAATTCAACATCAAAATCTCAACAGAAATTCCAATTCTAAATTTACCAAAAGATATCATATCAAAAATGTCAAAAGAATTGCCAAATGTTGTTTCTCTTGCATCAGAAGTAATCAGTTCCGCTACTCAAGGCTTAGAAAAGGTCTATTTTAAAGCGGCCGCATCAATTATTGCAGGATTCATTGAAGGAAAAACAGACAAAGCAATACAATTCAATGATTTTGTGGCTCTAGCCATAAATAATGGCTTTCCTCAATACGCAGTTTTGATGGCAATGAACAATAATGAACTTTTGCTTGAAATTGCAAACGCTGCATTTTCCCAGAACGGAACAAATGTTCCAGGAAGCTTTATAAAGAATCTTTGCAGAGCATGCAAATACTCGAAGTCAACAGAATTAGTAGACTTGCTTTGCTCTCACATAGATATCCAGCAAACAAATCCATCTCCTCTCAAAAAGTTGTCCTCAATGCTCTCAAAATTCTTATGGGGAGGAAGTTCCCCGGGCGATAGAACTGTATCGTTCATCGTTAACTGGATCGAGCTTATTATAAGCGGATTTAGTATGACAGAGACATCCAAAGATGTCTTGTATTGTCTGCGATCCTTGCCTCATGAAGTAATTACTTCATTAAGTCAAGATTTCGTTTTCAATTTGTTCAATTACGCTCTAGAAAAGAGTTCAGATGATACGATGTTTCTTGATTATTTCTCCGATATCTTGGTAATTCTCTTTGATGAGAAACCTGAGATAGCAACACAAATTGTTGGCCAAGTTTGCCAGTTCTTGATTTTTGGCCAAAATTTGATAGAATCAACTGTTTCTTCATTTGATCCTGATAGACAGTTCTCTGTTAATAAAAATAATTTGAAGAATGTCCTTATTCAAATAAGTGTTGCATACAGATATTCTTCAAAGTTTATTTAAAAATTTAATACAATTGTTATGAATAAATATACTAATTATTTACCTTGACTTTTATTTAACGTAAAAGCTTGATTACTTCTATTACATGCATCTTTACACATGTTATTACATTTTTAAGGGTGCACTTACGCCCATCTGACATGATGTTCAATTCTTATCTTTAAGGTTATTTTTCGATTACACTCCATCCAACCTGTCAGATGGGTGTAAATACTAAACTCTGTCAAGAGGATTTGTAAATACGAAGCTATTTGCAGCATTTATTGTTTTGCACAATTAAGAGATTATTTATAAAGTAAAGCAGAATGGCTTTGAGAGAAATAAGTGGATAATCGCTATAATTGCAAAATGCAATCGATGCAACTGACTTAATTTTAAATTCCTTAAGGATTCACTTACAACTTTCTGACATTCTCTCAATTTTTTTAAACACATAAGTTTTATATCACAATTTTATAAGGTAAAAAGTTAATATTTTTGGTCGGGAAAAAGTTTTTTTTCTATTCTAATGAAGATGCATTGATTTTGCAAAAGCATATTATAAAGTGGTAAGTGCACCCTTAATAAAAATCTAGAGATTTTTAAAATTTATGAAGTCAATTTAAGTTGGAGAGTTTCTTACGCTGCTGGAGATATTAACCAACTAATAAACTATATTTCTAATACTTTTCCTGAAAAATCAAAAACGTCAATAAGTAAGTGATCTGTATTAGTACTGTTTTTGCCGGTTTGAATTAATTTGAATGACACAAATCTATCATGAGAAATAATATCATATTTGCGAATTTCACCTTCGTGTAATAGTGAATTAGAGACTTCATGAATGACTTTTGTTTCTCCATTAATAGTTAATCCCTCAACTTTCCATGATTGAAGTCTAGAAAGAAAGGACGTATAGGTGGGTGACGTTCGAACTATATAACTTGTTGGCTGAATTAAATAATTTTGTTTTAATTTCCATTCAATCCATGAATTTGGTTCACCGCGAGATTGGAAATAGGTATCATTCCTATATTTATTAATAATTTCGGCTGATCCATTGTCAATGGAAGAAGCTGACATCACTACATTGCCGCTCTCAAAATAGTTTGTTACTTCTTTTCCACCACATCTATCTTTATTTTTAGGATCTCTTGATCTTATGATAGAGTCAACAAGTGAATTGACAACATCCTGATAGTTATCAGATGTAACGAAATCTTTCATTTCTCTGATTGTTTCTTCTTTGCAAAACTCAAAATAAATGTTTTCAAACAATGAACTGAAAACAACATCTTTTCTTGCAAGAGAAATGATGAATTTAGCTAGTGAATCTTCGTCTGTGATTTCAAGTTTTTTGTTGTTGAGTATTTGCTTTAAAATATCAACTCCGAGTTTTTTGGAAATTAATTTGAGTTGGTTTTGATCAATTTTGTAGAAATGTTCTGCAATAAAGTCAGTACATTCAATTAACTTCTCATTCCAGGAAAGATCCATATAAAATTCAAGTAATTGAATACAATTTGTTGTATCTAATTTCTTTTTATCGATGACATTCGATTTATATAGATCAATTAACTCTTGGATTCCTAGAGACATTCCTAAGTGAAGGAGATCTTTTATAACTGTTTCATCAACCTCGATTTCAGTAATTCTATATTGAAAGAAATCTTTTAATATATTGTATGTATCATTCGACATAATATCAGAATTTATATCAATTTTATCAATGTTTTTGTCTAAAAGATACTGAGAATATATCATTTGAGAAATTGCGATTGCAAATGATTTGTTGAATACGATTTCGATATTGTTTATCGTCAAAGTAACCTTGTCTTGTGCATTGTAATCATTAATCCTCTGGAGTGTTCGGTTATTTAACTGGATTATAACCATTTTTTTTTCTATGTTGGAATTTTTTTTTGTTGTTGTTGTTGTTGTATTATCATTCTTGCTGAAAACTTACTTTTAATGTGATGAATTTGCTATTGGTCCATAACCTATCAAAATATGAGTATTCTCTGTATCGGAAAACTGTTAAATTTTAAAATTAAAATGTAAAATTTGTTAACTGATGTCTAAGTTTTCAATAAAAGAGTTACTTACAGTTGCACCTTCTAAATTTGAAGATGGCTTGGTCCAAACAATACTAAAATCAAATGATTTATTTAACAATGATTATTTTTCATTAGAAGCCTCAAAGGAGAGTAAACTCAAATGCCTGCTTGAATACGCATTTGATAAAGATACTAAAACTTATTATTTCACGGAAGATAAAGATCCTCATCTTGAATTTATTTTCAAAGGCGTGTTCAATTTATCAGGTCTTGTTATACATTGTATTTATAACCCTTATATTAAGGATTTTGATGTTGTTGGTTCAAAAGACGGTAGGCAATATAATTTGATTTACTCTTACAGAAGCATCAGTGATGAATTATACGGGAACCGTAAATTATTCGAGTGTAATCAAAGTGAATTTTATAAACGAATTAGGATCAACTTTCTGCGAGATAGCTTAAAACAGATCACTGGCTCCATGTTTGAGCTAGATATATTTGGTGCATTTTTGCGGGTAGCTATTCCATCATGTATACTTCAAAATGAACTATCATTGGGCTACGTATCTCATATTATATCGTTCATTTTAATTATTACATAAATTAAATATATAAAATATCATTTGTTACAAAACTTGACCATACAACGAAAATAAAATAGCAAAATCTCAGTAAGAAACAAGAAAACAAATTGATCAAAATATATTTAAGCAATTGCATTAATGAACTTTGATTGTTATAAAAGATTAAATGAAGAAAAGAAGGCTAAAATGTCTATGAGCAACTGTCCAAATAAATGACATCACAGTATTTAAAGGGTTTTCGAGTATTTCATATTTGATGAAGTTTGATCAAATAAGAAAATGTGGAAAACTAAAGTCATTAGGACCTTAAAAATAAAAATTGTGTAATGGCAGAATGGCCGAGTGGTTAAGGCGTGGGATTCGAAACCCCATGGGTTCACCCGCATCGGTTCAAATCCGGTTTCTGTCGTACTTTTGTTCCTCTAAAGATAATTTATTTAAAAATTACAAGTTACTTCACACCTGTTTAATCTTTCTCATGATTATTTTTGATTCTAATGCCGAACAACATTTGAATCATAAATAATCGTTTGTTAGATAATTTTTTTGTTGAGTCTACCACTCGCTAAAAATGTATCCTTGGAGCTCTTGATCTCATGTCAGTAGACCTCATAATAAGACATGATCTATACTAATTTGATGTCAGAATAATTCAACCTGGCTTTCAATTTCTACAAAACTCCTAAGTTCCTCATGGTAAATGTCATCTACTGTTGAAATATGGAAGCACACCTTCGAACCAGGAGCTTCTAACCATTACGAAATGTCTCTCCTGAAACTAGGTCTACTTTACAATAGGACAGTTTTCTTCCGCTGTCTCTCATAAAATTAGAGACCTCAGAAGAAAGCTGTCCTATTCGAGTATATTTACATTCTGATAGAAACACAAGTATACAATCTTAATACAGAAATTATCCAAGGGCTTTCAAGAATAGAGGGACCTCGGATAATCTCTGCCTTAATAGACTAATAACTTTTTCTGATAATCAGTGTACTTTGAGGCAAGGTTTTTCCAAAATCTCTCAACTAATGAGAGACTTCGGAAGGACCTTGCCAAGTCCTAATGCACCGATATCTCTGGAACTTTTCCAGGACCGGAGAGAAGAAGTGTACTTATTTGGACAAAAAGATTCTTGATACGTTTGAAAAATGATATAAGCTTCTGTATAAAAATCTTATTGCTTTCGACTTTTCTATTCTTGGTAATCCATTTCATATCTTAGAACTTAATCAGAATCCATAATTGATATCCGAAATCTTTGCAGCAGATGTTATCCACATGTGTAGCTTAGCATTTTTTCTTCTAGTGATTACAAGGATATTTTATATAGTAAAATATCAATATATAACTTTTAAATTTTTTTCATGTCTGATCAAGACATCCATCCAAATAAATTCAGCGAGTTACGAAGTATCTACGAATACTACATCGATCCGTATATTGCGCTGTATCAGCTAAAAACGGAAAAAGGAGAAGAATTAATCTCTATTTACAAAAAGATCAAAGCAGAGTTGATTGATTCAAAGAAATATCCACCAACAAAGATTATGAGAGACATTTTAAATATCATTCCGTATAACAATCGCTATACAAAGTCATATTTATCTCTTGCTAAACTCTTATCTGATGATTATCATATCAAAGATGTCGAAAATATTTCCATTATTTCAAACTTCCTATTTTATGAAGAATATGGAATTAAATTACGCAAGTCTGATAAATTCGAAAAATGTAATTTGGGGAGGTTTTTTGTGATATGGAAAAATGTTAGTTGCTCAATTATCTCACTATTGGATGGACTTTTATCGAGCGAAATTTTGGCTGTAAAGACAATTCTGATATTGGTAACATGGTGATAAGAACAAATAGTCAGTTTGCATGGTTTATGATGAGATAATTTCGATTTAAAAAAAAATATAAAAATTGATTTTAATGAGCGATTATATTTGAATATGCTCTCCTAATTTGAAGGAACTGGTTAAATCATGAATTGATCATGAATAATTTTTTTTCAAAATAACAATTATAATTTCATATTCATTATAAGTTGAAAATATATCATAAAGACTTTATGAATGATAAATTCCTAAAAAACAAGTTAGTTTGTTTCTGAAAATAATAATAATAAAAACCAATTTAGACCCAATAATTTTTGGCGGGATAATTGAGATGTTTAACAAAAACTGAAAGGTGTCATTATTATCTATGACCAACAAGCAACTGACCTAGTCTGGATTACAATATTCGGTTCATCAAACCGCCAATTTGATGAATCAAGCCAAATTGTAACTGACCTAGTCTGGATTACAATATTCGGTTCATCAAACCGCCAATTTGATGAATCAAGCCAAATTGTAACTGACCTAGTCTGGATTACAATATTCGGTTCATCAAACCGCCAATTTGATGAATCAAGCCAAATTGTAACAAACCAGTTGTTGATTGCATGGTATTATTCATCGAACTGCCAATTTGATGAATTACATTTCTTAGTCATCAAAATAGTGGTCATGTTGTAAACGAAAACGATAAAAACGGCTTGACAGTAAAGTGATACTTTACATGGCAAAAAATAGAGCCTTACTTTTGAGATACTTGAGATTGAAACTGAATCTTATGAGGCGGTGATCTTGAATCACTACCTCATAAGGTTCAGTTTCATATAAAATTTGTTGCAATTTGTTATTCTTTTGCAATTATTTCTTATAAGATTTTACATCTTTTAGCGGGGAATGTTTGTTATCATGTATATATTATAAATATCTACACGATAACGAACATTCCTCGCTAAATTGCTGAGAAACTTTGAGGAAATGTCGAACAATTTCCTCAAAGTTTCTCAGATTTATATAGATCACTAGAGTCCCCTAGGCACTGATTCTGGTTCAGTACCTAGGAGGCTCTAGTTCTCTAACGAACTGATAAAATGTTTTTAAATTTTTGGATATTGCTACCTGTGAAGCACTGACTTCAAGTCAGTACCTCACAGGTAGCAATTACATTGAAAGATGGGAGAAACTTTGTCCGAATGTTAAACTATTCGGACAAAGTTTCTCCATTTGTAGTGGAGATGGAAGGCTTTGAGGTATATTATATTAATATATACCCCAAAGTCTTCCATCTCCACTTGAAAGTTCCAAAACTTTGGGTTAATAGTTTGCAATTAACCCAAAGTTTTGGAACTTTCTAGAAGGAATTGCAGGGTAAGAGGTACATATTCATACTATGTACCTCTTACCCTCCAATTCCTTCCTTAACATAAACAAATTTGGAGTTAATTGTTTGCAATTAACTCCGGGTTTGTTGACCTCCAAATGAAAAATGAAAGGGTAAGAGGTATATAGTGACCCTATATGCCTCTTACCCTTTCATTCTCATTAATTATGGGAGAAACTTTGGCCGAATGTTAAATTATTCGACCAAAGTTTCTCCCATTTTTTGAAGGGATTGGAGGCTATGAGATACTGATGCAATGTCAGTACCTCATGGCCTCCAATTCCATCCTGAAACTGATCAAATGGACCTTACATGCATTTGAAATTTGCCATGTAAAGTCCACTTTTTGAGAGAGAGGATTTGACTGCGTCAAATTCTCTTTTTCGTTTACGAGAGTCATGTTACTATTCGTTAGGTTAAATTACTTTTAATGCCCATTCAAGGAAGTACATGTCAGTTACAGGGTTTATAGTTTTACTCGAATTGAGTAAACCTCTTGGAAGCAATTACCACAAGAGCCAAGACTTCTCGTTTACAGACTTTGAAAGCCAGGAAGGAGCCAGGTAACAATAATGGGCTCTCTTATGATATTTTGGGATATTTATCAACAATTTGAGTTTCTACCTATTGTCTTCAATGAGGATTTTTTAGGCCAGAAGTACAATACCTGTACAGTCTAACTACTAGGGCAATGTAGTCAAACTGTGCACGTATTGAACTTCTAAGGCTATTATTTATCTGCTATTGACATCATTCTTTTACATTACCGTCCTCTGGTCCTTAGAGGACCATAGATTCTGAAATTACTTGTGCAGAGCAAAGTTCTTCCGAGATCTCTCTATCCTTCGTAGATCTCGGAAAAACTTTGCCTTAAACTACTGCATTAATGTTTCCTAGTATTCAAAGAGCTATGAATTCTATAGTTGATCTTATAAGGTAGAGTTTTTCCTAACTTTCTCATTCGTTGAAAGGTTTTCAACAAAGCTATACCTTAAAAATCTGTGCTTGTTATATCTGATCATTTGTGTGTTAGGGGAGGTAAATTTATTCCACTAGAGCAAATTTTTTCCGAGGTTTCTCATCGAATGAGAAACCTCGGAACAACTCTTCAATAGTGTAATGAATTTGTGGTATTTGTCCTGCAAACAGCGAGAGAACTTGTCTGTAATTCGTTTATGATGAAGTTATCTGGATGTCTCTCAGATGAGGAAGGAAGTCCAGAAAACTTCACCATAAGTTAATACTTGTGTATTTCTATGACTCTCTTCACGTCAGAGAATGTAAATTTACTCGAATAGGGCAAAGTTCTGCTCAAGTTTCTCATTTGATGAGAAACCTCGGAAGAACTTTGCCCTAAGGTAATGTATATGTGATTGTTGGCCCGCAGAGAAACAAGGAATCTGTTTGTATTTCGTTTATGGTGAAGTTCTCGGATGTTCTCTCAAATTATATGGAAAATCAAGATAACTTCACCATAATTTGTTGTAGTTGTGATTCTCTGGCTCTTTGCCGGCCAGAAAACTAGAAAATAGTTTATAGTGGGAGTATGCTCGATGAATACCTACTCACTAAAAATATACGTTATTTTTTGTTTTCCTATGGGAAAATAGTTTTGATTTTTATACTATCGTATGCTTTGTTATTGCATGAATTGTCTATTTTCTTAATAAAAACTCATTTTTCCGTGTGATTCTGAATCAATGCATTCCAAAAAAGCGTTTTCCGCCTTTGAAACGTGAAAACACACATTGCATGAAGAATCAGAGAAGATTTTCTAACTCGAAGAATTCCAAAAAAAACC